TTCTGATGGGCATGTGCTGGATGGCACCACGCAAGGGGGCTGAAGGGAGTGTAATCAGTATTTCTTTGGGCTAAAGTGCAAAATGCAAAATTCAGTGTGGCTATTCTGTGTCTCTAGATAACAGTAGTTTCCGTGATTATAGCCAAAGCCTTGTACTGTGCCTCTTTAATTTAGGATCATCCTTACCTGTGATTCATCACTATTAACTCATATTTTAAAGGAACAATAAATGTTTCAGTTAGGAAAGTTATGGTTGAGCATGAACATGGCCAGTCTGATGTAAAAAATAGTACCAGTGAGATTTACCTGTGGCTTTTCACCAAACCCTGCCCTTTACATTTCAACTTTATTGGTGTAAGAAGACCCATAAAGGACAACAGCCTCTGGTTGGTTCTGCCTGCGTTTTCCCACGTGGATGCTCTGGATGACACTGGCAGCAGCAGTGCCTGCCTTCCGAGCACGCAGGCACACTGGTGGGACCCAGAGGGGGCTGTGGATTCAGCTCCAAACCTTTTCGTGGTTCGATCAGAACAAAACACTCCAGGGTGTTTTGTTTTGTTTTGGGTTTTTTTTAGCCTAACTGCTGATAAGCCCCCGCTCGGGTGAATAGTTAGTTATTGCACAAACGGCGCTGCTAAAAGCAGCGAGCTCACGTGTGTGTTGGAGTGTGCGCCTACAGCGTGAGCAGGTGGTTTCGCAGCCCTGGAGGACTGTTGCAGGGTACCATCCACAGGCATTGCCCACACCACGGGGCCTCGGAGACGCCTTGTGATTCAGAGCAGCATTTAAGAGCTTTAATGGATGTGGTAAAGACACCCATGGTAAGCACTGTGGTATGATAGTGTTCCACAAATTGCCACAGTTTCCCAGTGATGCCATCCCTCACATTTTTGCCGCTTGTGTGAATGGGAAATCTTTCTAAAAATTTTATACTGCATTTTGAGTTGAACTAGTTGGCCATAATTCATTTCGCGACTTGGGTGTATGTTCCCAGGTTAGCTGGTAGTCCTAACCTCACAGGAAAGCAGCAGAACAATTTGGAGTCATTTATTCACAGTGGAGAAAGGGGGCCATACTCTGTGCTGGAAAAATTATCGGTGGCAGCAGACTGAATTGTTTACCATGCTCTTGACCCATTTTTTTCTAGCTTTTGATTGGGCTAGTGTCCAAACTGGAGGTTAGTGATGGTGGTGAAGGAGGGATCTATCCATCCGACAGAGCAGAGAAGGAAAGGCAGAAGACTGTCTTGACAGAAAGGACACAGTAAACTGAGGTTTAGTTCTCTGCTTTACCACAGATTTTTCTATGGGATCGTTCTCCCAGTTGAGGGACTCTGGGTTGGCAGCCACAGTTGTGGCCATCACTCCCCATTGCTTGTGCTTGCTGCTCAGATACCTGTTCTGAAGCCAGACGTCATCCATATCACAGTGACCACAGGGCAACAGTGTAACAAATAATTGTTGGAAGTTCTGTCCCATGAACAGTATTAAATGCAGCTTTTGTTAATGTCTTCCATGTTTCCTCTTTGGTTGGTTTTCTGCCATCTTACCAATCTGATTTATCCCTTTTCATCTCCTTTTCGGTGGGAGGTTTAATTAATTTTTTTATTGATTTTCCTTGCATTTTACATTATTTTTCTTCCTTTGTTATCTCTCTCTTCATGCCTGCCTACTTGATTTCTCTGTTCATAATTTCGTCTTCACCTCTGTCTTTTAAGCTTTTTTGTCTCCATTTCCTTTTCCCTCTCTATGTCCTAATTTTTCCAGGTCTTTTTGGGGGTGGGTCTTATTTCCACCCACCAGTTCATTTCCTTTTTTCTATTTATCTTCCTCTTATCTTCTCCTCTTAGCCCCAGTCCTATTTCTCCTCTACCAATGTCATTTCTCCCCCTTCCTGCCCATCCTCTTCATACACGCCAGTGGAAGAGACACAGCACGGGTACATCAAGGCAGGACAGAGCTTGTTCCAAACTGGCAGGGCATAGCTTGTTTCATGTGTGTTATTGAAAATGCAAACGCACAAGAGCAATGACTGTTCTCCCAGTTCTTTTGCTGAAGGATATAAGAAGAACATCAAACACCTTTGTGGTCTTTTAGATCCAGACCATTTTCAACAGCAATCACATGAGATGACAAGGGGATCCCTCAGGCAAATCATTCTCCTTCATCCCTACTTTGAATACGACTGTTTTCAAGGAGGTGAAAGTTTAACAGAAACGCTATCTATCTGCAAGCGCTTCAGCAGTGGTGATTTCAGCAATTACATGCTGAGGGTAGTACACTGTGCACTCTAACAGTCGGGATGTCTTTTTTTCCTCTTTTGCCTGCCTTAAATAATACTGTCTAAAGTGAGAGGAGGAAAAAGTATGGTCATGAGAGAATATGGCTGTCTGATGCTAACACAGCTTGAAGAACATTGTGCTGTCCTCTTGGGTTGAGTTAGGCTTCAACGGTGCATTGGAGTTCATGGTACTCTTGCAAGGCTGGGATGGAGGGCACTCCTTCAATTACTCTGCCTACCAAAGTAAGGAGGAATTTTAGGAAAATAAAGAAAAAAAGCCCTTATTCCCTTTCCCAGGCTGTGTGTCACACCTGAATATGCTCCCTTTCCCAAGGCTTAGCATCTTTGTGTGTTCTGTCTAGCTTTTTCTCCATGACTAACTATTCCTTTCATCATCCTCTCTTTTTGCATGCCAAATGGGCCCTGTAATGCTGTGAATCACAGATCTATGAACTCCCCAGCCACAGTAACACAGCTCCTTTTCTGGTTCACGTCTCTGTATATTCAGGAACAGTTAGTCACACTTTTTCTGCTCTCTTTCCTCTGCTCTCCAACTGCAGAAGGATCTGATGTTTTTTATAACTCTCCAAGCTTGTACAGTCCCCAGATACATTTTTTCTTCCCCTGTAGCCATAGCGCATGAATCATGTCAGAGACAATAGAGATTGAATGAAAGGAATTGCAAAAATCCCTGCTGCCACATGTGCATCCTAGCTGGTGTAAAACAGGGTAAACAGCTCTTCCCAGGACCTGCGAGGATGCTGGGGAGACAAGGCAGCCCCAGTTAATCTCCGTTAGCCAGTTCATAAGGGATGTAACAGGAGGTGTCACATACTGATGGGAAAATCTGTCTGCCAAGTCTCTGGAGACCTCCTGTTCTTGGATGCGTGTTGTCCTTTATCTTCACTTCTTGCGTGTGTGCGATGTTTGTTGGTAAATGGAGTTGCAATAAGTTTGGGCAGAAAGTTGAGAATTTTTTCCTATCAGCATTGCTGAGATTTTGAAAATATTGTCCATGAATAGCAATGAAAAATTAAAATATCAAATTACTTTTGGAAAATATGAATCAATTTTTCAGACCAAACCCATTGCTTTCAGTGATTTCAGAATATTTTATTTCTAATTTATGTTGTAATTATCCTTATGAGTACCTTGTCATTCATATTTTGAAGTATAATGTTGATCAAACTGAAACCCCAAACCTTTAATTCCTAAGGTATCCTGTTGAAGTAAGGTATTGTCACCACTTTCAAATTATTTGGCTTATTAGCTGAACATTTGTTTAAAACCGATTTTTTCCCTAAGAATGGTTTGATGAGTCAACAGTTTTTTAACTTAAAAGCTTTTTTTTTATTAATTCACAGTTGGTTCCTTCAGTGCCTTTTCACAACTGATCTGTCACTTGTAGTTTCTTAATTCTCTCTGACTGGAAGAACTTATGGGATGTACAATATCTTCAATTCAAGCGAAACCAAACATGAAGCTGAAGTAGCATACTAGTACCATAGTACTATTGTTTTATTTCCAACTTTTTGAATAATAAAGGAAAATTTGTAAGAGGAAATAGGATGCGTTTTAAATATTATCCTTCTATTTGTTAATCCATTTTAGTCAGTACGGCAGTCTTTCACAGTTACAGATAAAGAGCTGTGTCGTGGGGCTGCTGCTTAAAAAAAATGCTTTAAAACTACAGAAATTGTTATCATAAAAGATTCTTCTAGGCAATAGGACAAATGCTTGTTATGATAGATTTTATTTTACTCAAGGAATATATGTTTTTGTTTGAGTTGTATTGTTTAAGCAACTTCCCAACAATAACTTTTATTCTGGTTCAATTTGCAAGATAAATCGTGTTCCCTTGACAGGACCAAATACTGACTATGGCAGACTGCTGTATTGAGTTAAACGTGTCCTTCCTGCAGCAGGTTTCCAAGTTTTCCTCTCTGTAGTTAGATGATAAGTATTCAAATGCTTAATGCACCTACATAAGGGTATTTCCATCCTTCTTTGCAAAATGCTTTCTGTATAAATACAAAAGGTTTTGCTGCTTTGCAAAATGATCCCTTATTTTAGTGGCAATTAGCATTAATTACAAAAATTAACTTGCTGGCCTGGAAAATGAGTGTACTAGTGAAGGCACAGATCTCAAATTCTATGAATTAATTAAAACTGTAAATGGGCTATTATATCTGCAGACCAATTCATCAGTCCAAAGGCTGAGTTTTAGTTCATATGCAGCGTGTGTTTTATCTGTGTTGCAGGCCACAGGTGATCCCAATCCGTTCCTGCAGCCAATAATGAAGAAATATTTAAGTCAGGATGCCAACTTTGGAAAGTTTAATGTTACATTTATCGGTGCATTTTTGTTCCGTCTAATCAAAATACTTTTCGGGGTCGTTTTTCTGAAGAACAGTAACGCAGTGTAGCACCACTATCGCACCGGTAAAGTCAGACTTTAATGGATTCGGGGAAATTAAAGGCAGCTATTTTGTGTGTCCCAATGTTAAACTCCTTCTTGTCTAAAAGGAATTAATGGCCTTAACAGCCTTAACAAAGGATTATTAATAACGGTTAATGATTTGATAGGATAGTTCAAAATTGCAAGGTGTTGGGAGGTATGTGACGTAGGGCTGTCCCCGCCGCTCAGCCTCTCCCTGCGCAGCGGCTTGGGTGGGCCAAGTCAGCTCCCTGTGGCACCCGCGGCCGCGGAGCTCGCAGGGATGCTCTTTTCCGAAACGGCAAGGCAGTTGGGTGGTAACTTGAAAGCTAACGTACCGCAGCCGTGTGACGGAGACGGCAAAAGAGACTTGCAGAGAAAGTGGAGTGGAGACAGCGTGGCCCCCCGTGAGAGGGGGAGGTTAGTTTAACACCTCCCTATGAGCAAAAAAGACTCGTTAAGGCTGAACAAACCTTAAAAGCTTTGGAGTTCAGGTCCTGGGTGATTATTCATAAGATTTTTGCATTCCTCTCAATTGCTCTAACTACTACCGTCTTCACAGTACCTTTTCAGCGGAGTTGTCCTTCGAGCTGCCTCGTGTAGCTAGGGAAAGCTTGCACACATGCTTGTAAATCCCTGGAATAACGTGTTAAGGGAAAAGGTCAAAATGATCAGCTTGCCTTCCACAAATCCCCTCTGGGTGCAGCCCTGCTGTTGCCCCTGGTTCTTCACAGCCATACATCCCTGATCTTGCCACGTGCATGAAGGATTACAAGCTGTACTGGAGGGAGTCAAAAGCAGATTTCTGCCTCTGCGATTACAAATGATAACTCTTAACCTTTTCTCTGCTCCCCATCCTAAACCTCTTCTTTCAGTGAAGGAGAACTTCATCTGTTCAAAAGTAGACCAGGCATTTGAATATTTAAACCTGTGAAGAAAAATTGGTCTTTTGATTAAATTGAGTTCTCTATTAAAAATGTGGGGCTTATGAAAAATGTACTTGCTAAATAAAATACGACACTATAAAACATGTTAGCCACAGGGAGTTTTAAACTGCCAGAATGTCTTCTAATAGTTGTAGCTTCATTGCTCCAGTTCTTCTGTTCTTGCTATATGTCAGGTGCTCTGGTTCCCCTGCGTTTCTTGTCATGGGAGGTGGAGACCGGCTGTGCACAGCACCATCTCGGCCTTCCAAGAAGGATGGAGCACGAGGCGTGCTGTGGATCATGGTGGCTTTCTGAGACGCACAGAGCTTTTAACAGCAACTCTAGCTGTAATACAGTACTGCAGAAATGCCCAGATTACAATACTGTGAATTTTGCATGAAATCTTTTGGTTCTCAGCCCAAAGAGGTGGTGGTGGAAGGGTGTTCAGTATCTGAATCGCCACAAAAATCAATCAGTCTGCCGAAGCAGCAATATCTTTTAATTCTTTTTTCAGTGTGGGCTGGGACAGAGCACTCTGTGACTGTGTGTTGGTTTTTCGGGGTTTGGACATGAAACTTCTTGTCATTTCCTGGAAAGCCAAACCTGCCTGGCTTCACTTGCTTCCAGTGTGTTTTTGACTGAAAAAGATCTCTTGCGCTCTGGCCCCAGGTCATGCCATGCCCCTTCTCAGGAAATACTTGGTTTTCCATTACAGATCTCTGTTTACAGTGTTCCAGGGTGACACAGTATTGGGAAACTTATAAAACAAAACCCAAAACCAACTCTAAGGCTAAATGGTGGAGAAAGTGATTGCTACCACTGTCCCTTATGGTACTTGGAAATAACCACTTTGTAATGCTGGCTGTGAACCACTTTGAGACATTGTATGTTATTAATTTCTTGCAGGGTTTTTTGTTTGCTGAAGTTGGCTTGCTTATTTTCCTTAAGTAAGACCCCCCTCTTTACAGGCCCCTTTCATACACATATTTAATTCCCGCATCTTTTCTGACAGCGGCCAAGGGCCACTGGTGACATATGGTCTCACACAAATGAAAGCCTTTCCTGCTCTGTCTGAACTATCAGTCATTTCATGGGTGCAGAAAACGTCCACATTTTAATCTTTCCTGTACCTGTTGGCATTTCAGCCATATTTCTTCTTTAACCTAGAAAGGTCTCCCAACAACGGAGAAGGCATCTCACGCCTATTTTTAACAAACAGTTGTCTTTATGAGCTTGTTCCTTGTCTTAATTCATGTATTGGGAGTTAGTTTTATCTCTCAGTTTGAAGCTGAGATGCTCATATCCTCACTACATAAGAAAACTTTGAAAAAGCAGTTATTAGATTGTTTCAACAACAAAAAAAAAACCCACCCTGACTTTCAAAATTATTGTGTAAGACTTGATAATCTTGTGTTGCTTCTGTGGACAGAGAGTGGTGGTATAGGACTTTCTGCACAGTATTTATAGGTATCTTGGAGGAAAAAGGATTTTGCAGTCTGTGTGTGCATTCAAGCCATGTTTCTCCTGGTAAGATAAAGCAGTTCAGCATGTTGAACATTTGCACTTGCAGAACACATTCAGCACCTCCTCAACTCCAAGGCAGTGCAGGGGGTTCAACCCATCACAAAACAAAACCTTACGTTATCTTCACATATAGATCAACAAATTTCATGTATTCTACTGGAAATCTGCTAGCCACATGTGCACTCCACTGGATTTCAAATGGCAGCACTTTATTGTGCATAACAAGACCCTACAGTTCCCTTTCAGTCCCAAAATAAAAAGCCCAGAATCTGCAGCTGATCTGCAAAAGTCTACACCAGTTTTAAGATGGTTTTATCAAAAAAGGAATAAGATTTGGGACTGTTCAAGTTATTACTGGCCCATTTTATGGCCCTATGTGCATTCAGGTGGAAGGGAAGACTCCATAGGAAAATCCATTGCTTCCTTCAACTTAAAACCTCTATTGCAGGAGACTTAGGAAGCTTTCCACAAGTAGGTGGAGAGTGCCTCAGAACTCTGCTTGTTATAATCCAAGAGATAATCTTAAAAGATATGTGACAATCTTCAATAAACTGAGATCCAGATTATCCAAGAAGTAATATAAAAAGATATCTGGCCATGATGTTGCCCCATCACGCAAAAGGGCCACGAGGACACAGAATGTAGGTCTTGGAGCCTTTATGTGTTTCTTGGCTGCAGCAACACAAAATCTTGCTTGCTTCTATTTATTTACTCATTCATTTGTTTGATGGAGATTTTTAATTGAATGAAGGGATACCATTATGCTCAAATACCACTTCAAATATTAGCAAGTACTTAACACTGTATTGTATGCACCAACTGTAGAAAAATGATGCTTCAGAAGAGGCAATTTATGTAGTTCTTTATAAAAAGATATATTTCCTGGGAGAATGGAATTACAGTAATTACAACTTGAACTTGCCATCAATATTTCAAATCATCAAAAGCATTTGCAATTAACACCAATTGTACACAAACAAACAAATTAGACTTTTTTTTAAGATAGTGATTCTGGTGAGACTTTGAGAAGACCAGCCTTTGAGTCCCTGTTTCATACATTTGAGAACTCTGCTGAGCACACAGCAATGGAGCTGCACACAGCAAGGCAATCAGTAGAGCAGGAGGGCTCTTGACATCTCACCTGCTGCCATTAGGAGGAGGGATCAACCAAATGAAAAATGATGCATTGATTCCATCTGGATGACAGCAATGCCCAGGATGACAATCCCCTGCTTATTTTGCCTTTCATAAATATTTTTATAATAAAGATGTTCCAGGCTCCTTCACTACATGTGAAGACCCCAAAGACAGTAAGTTAATTTTTGTCCCCTCTGCATTTCCTACAAGCTATAACAAGCTATGTCACTGAAGGCTATGTATTTATACACTGAAATGCTGAAAATTGGGAAGCATGGCTTTGAAAAAGCCCCACAACCCAGCTTCCAGCTTGTGGCTCCTACTGATCTGTGGATTAGGCACAAGGCAGAAGTCACTAACTTGTAGAGAAGTCAGCTACTGGTAGTGAGACCATCACCAACATTTTAGAGATAGAGAGCATCTCCCAGCTCTGAGCTTCCACCCTTCTGTTTATCCTGTAATTTTAAGAAGAAAAATGCTATTTTACCACTGTTGAGATTTCAGAGGAAGCCTGAGTTTGGCCAGAGCTGTGTGTGAGCAGCACCTGGCACTGAGAGGCTCACTGCAGGGAGAGGGGGAAGCTCTAGACATGGTCGGTCTTTGTCCATGGGTTGGAATGAAAGGACAAGGTGAGCTGCTCTGAAAGTGCCGCCTGCCTCTGGCTGCTTAAATAACCCTGGTGCGACCAACTAGGACGTGAAGGCTTTGCTTTTCAGCTTCCATAGAACCAGTAGTATCACTTATCCATCTTGCAGTCTTCCTTTCTGATGTGTCCATCATAGGGTCATGAGGGCACTTCAGACAGGAGTCCCTAATGCTTGAGCTCTTATTCACTCAAATTACAGCTGCCAGTGTATTCAAATACATGAGGGTGTGCTACGGCCTCCTTGGCTGTTATACATATGCAGTATGTACTGTTATACTGTTATATATGTCTAAATATGTTTTTTTAAAGGTAACATATCAAGTATATGAAAGAAATGTACATGAGGAAGTGTCGTTGTTCAGTGAACACCCAAAATACCCAGGCATGTATATGAAATGGGTAGCTAGACGGTAGCCTATAGTAGTGGTTGGTAACAGGACAGCTACTGTACAAAACATAATGGTAATAACATCTCAATAAGTAGATACACTAACACTTTAGATTTTAGTTTTGTTTTATTAATGCATATGCTTTTTTCTTTCAATTGTCAGGATACTAATTTTCAGTGGTAATACACGTATTCTAATTTCTCCAACTCTGCCTTTTCTCCTTCTCTGTATTTTCCTTTTTTTTTTTGTATCGAGGGAAAATCATAATTGATGAGACTCAGCAAATGTATTCACAGGATAAATATATGTAGTACTGTCAGGAATTCTGCTTAAATCTAATAAGCAATATTTAGGACTCAAGTTTTGTGTTATCACAGAAAGAAGCTGCTTACGATAACTGGAAAAAACATACCTATATTCTGTAATAAGTTTCTGTAGCTGCTTTAAAATAAACTGCAAAATCTATCAAAATCTTGAAAAATCTTGTGCTGCATTCCCTGGGGAAAGAAAATTTAGGACTGTGAAAGCTTCATGAGTGTTTAATAATAGTCTTTTATATTCTTGACTAAGCAATGGTGATGATGTATTGCAAGATTAATACATAAATCATTAGGAAACTTTAGTCATTTTAATACAGCAAGTCTGTGTTTTGCTTAATTCACTGATTCATCCTGAGGCATATATTGAAATTTTGTGTGGCCTTTCATTAAAAACCCCAGCATGTCACCCACGTTTTGCATCACTTGTCTCTTGATGGAGCACATAGCAGTCGGGTTGTTCTGCAGTTTGATCTTGGCA